GCCTGAAGGTTAAAAAAAATAAATGTCAACTGTGTACCGAGAGGGTGGAATTCCTGGGATACCTTCTCGATAGTCAAGGAATCCACCCCACTGATAACAAACTAAAAGCGATTAAAAACGCCCCAACACCCAAGAATAGAACAGACCTCCAAGCCTTTCTGGGGCTCATTAACTTCTACAACATTTTCTTGCCCCAGAAGACGACTGTAGCGGAGCACTTACACAGACTTCTTGATAAAAGAGCTACCTGGGTCTGGGGACATCAAGAGGAACACGCCTTCCAACAAGTGAAAGACTTGCTAACCTCCGATGCTGTTTTGATGCAGTACAACGAGACTTTACCTTTGACTATTACTTGCGACGCTTCACTGTTTGGAGTGGGAGCGATCTTAAGCCATGTACTCCCAAACGGAAACGAAGCACCTATTGCATTTTTCTCACGAACATTATCAAAGGCCGAAAGGAACTATAGCCAACTCGATAAGGAGGCCCTTGCTGTTGTGTCTGCTGTGAAGCGTTTTCACGAGTACGTGTATGGACGAGTATTTACGATAGTTACAGATCACAAACCATTGCTTGGTATTATAGCGGGAGACAAGGCAACCCCCTATATATTATCGCCAAGAATGATTCGATGGTCTGAGTTTCTAGCTGCCTACAATTACGTGTTGCAACATCGCCCGGGGAAAGCCATTCCCCACGCTGATGCATTGAGTCGTTCTCCACTTCCAGAAGCTGTCGACGACCCAGCTCCAACCCTCACAACGCTCCAAATCGAAACGCTGCACTCACCACCACTAACAGCGAGAGACATCGCGATCGAGACAAAAAGGGACCCTATCCTGGCATGAGTCCTCAGCTGGGTCGAAAGAGGATGGCCAGCCGACCAAATCCACGACGATTTTGCACCATTCAAGAATCAGCAGACAGAGCTTTTCTCCCAGAGAGGTTGCGTTCTCTGGGGGGGATAGAGTAGTCGTCCCAGAGAGGCTACAACAGACTGTTTTAAAAGTATTACACGAGGGACATCCGGGCATCGTGCGCATGAAGGCGCTCGCACGAAGCTACGCATGGTGGCCGGGGATTGAAAAACAAATTGCAGCCTGGGTAACCACGTGCCAGAAGTGCCAAGATGTTAGCAACGCCCCACCTAGAGCGACGCCAACCGAGTGGGAAACCCCTCGGGGTCCGTGGTCCCGTATCCACGTTGATTTTGCGGGACCCACCAAAGGACACACGTTTTTATTAACAGTTGACGCCTATTCAAACTGGCTAGAAATCCAAAAGATGAAGACAACCACAACAGAGTCAGTCATTAATAAACTGAATAAATTATTCGCAACGCATGGGTTACCAGACGTTTTAGTTTCTGATAACGGGCCCCAGTTTACGGCCCTAGCTTTTGAACAGTATCTAGCGGACCGGGGCATCCGCCACATGCTCACCTCGCCGCCGCACCCTGCGGCCAACGGAAGGGTGGAGCGAATGGTACAGTTCATCAAGAAAACCCTACATAAAATGGACTATGGGGACATCGACGACAAGCTCAATTGAATACTCCTGCTCCAACACATCACCTCACACAGCATCATGAATAAGACGCCTGCCGAACTCCTAATGGGGCGGAGACTTCGCTCTCACCTCGACCACCTCCATCCCTCTTATTCACCAGAAAAACCCTGTGGATCTAGCGGTAAGTGCCGCGAATTCAAGGTAGGCGACTTGGTGCTTGCTAAAAACTTTTCAGGCGAGCCATTATGGGTCCCTGCAACTATTATCAAACCCACCGGCCCCAGATCCTACCGCCTACAGATTAATGACGGGAGATTTTGGAAACGCCATATAGATCAACTTCGATCCAGAATGGCACCCACCTCCCGTGACTCCTATAATTCACAAACTAACGGGGGAGGAGATATCGAGGAGGCCGAAAATGGGCTTGATGACGACATAATCATGGGGACCCAGCAACCTAACTGAAGAAACGCGCAACCTGAAGAAGAATCAGGGAGCGGGGTGATATCTCCACCCAGAAATAGCATGAGGGAGGCAAGCCCACGGGACCCGGAAGCAAGCCTAGGAGACTGGGATAACAACAACGAGAGCCACGCTGAGTCCTCCCGTGCGGAAACGGAATTAGCCACACCAGAAACACTTGATAGCGTTCCACCAGAATCGGACTGCAGACAAAAACCGGTGGAACTGCGAAAATCAAACAGGCAGGTGAAACGACCTGCATGTCTATGTGAATATGTTACCGCACCCCTCAAACGGAACCTAGGGGGGAGGGGTGTTATGAACTAACAAAAAACCATTTGAATAAACTTATTAACATTATGTTAAGCAGGCTTGAAATCCTGCACTTTGGATTGGCCCTGGGATAGTGAACTGGGATTGGTCCTCATGGATCAACCTGATTGGCTATTAGTTTAACATCTTTCATTGGCCAACAAGTAAGCATGTGGACACAGGTCATTGGTTAACAGGTTAGTAGCTAGCTCTATAAAAGGGCTACTGCTGCCCAAGGGTTTTGCTCTCTGTTTTCTGATTCTTAATAAAGAGTTGAAGTTCACTAAGTCACTGACTCGTCTCAATTACTTGCACCCATGCCCAGAATATAACATCCTTGGAGATGGTCAAGCAGCCCTCCACTTTGTCAGAGTAGTAGATATCTGAAGACCATATATATACTATGGCCGGCCATTTGAGGCCTTTCCCTGGAACTTATCCCACCCAGCTCATCTCATGGTTGCGGAAGGTGAAGCCCGAGGCTTGGCAGGAGAGACTGAGGGACTCCCCAGGTCTTCTCACACCTCCTCCAGACTCCACCAACTAGAATTGAGACTGGACACCTAAAAAAGAAAAGTGTTTCAATGAGATTTTCTGTATATTGAAAGAAAATGCTGGATAATATTAGGTCCTCAGATTGACACCTAAAAAGAAGGATTTTTCCAATGAGATTTCCTGTATATAAAACAGAAATTGGAAGGAAACTCGAGATAGAGTGAAACATTACCTCCAAGGAGTACAAGGAAGAATAATAAGTTCAGGCACAGTGTCATTTCTGCCTCTCTTTAATAAAAGGAGGATATATGACAGAAAAGGATTCAAACTTTGTGTTGGTGGGTGTCAACCTTTGCCTTTAAAGGGGAAATTGTGTCGTCAATTACATATTGCTTGAGATAAAAGAGTTCCTCAGAGCATGATTTTCATGGTTGTCCTTGTACAGGCCCTGCACAGTTGATTTTTAAACAATTTTCCAGCCGAAAGGAAAATGAAGCAGCCTTTACAGAAGAGTAATTAAAATAAAGACTTATAAAATTTCTCCACTTCTCAATAGTGATTCAAGGGAAGAAATGATGAACAAGCATTGATAACATTTGAAACATTTAAAATAACATTTGAACATTTCATGTTGGGAAACATGAAAACAGCAGTCCACCTGAGTTTAGGAAAAGTTTTATACATTTTCCTTTTAACATGACATTTTTAAGAAACCAAGAAGAACTGAATGCAGACAAAGATCATTTTTGCTTTGGAGGCTATTTTACTGTTTTGTTTGGTATTTCTGTCAGTTGTTAGGCCTCCAGAGTTGATATG